CACGCACCTTTTATACTGAAATCGCTAAACCCTGATGCAATGGCAGATCTGGCTCAAAATTAATCGGGAATTGGAAAACTTTTTTAAAACCTAATTATTCTCCTTCCTTAAATAAAAGCTATAAAGAAGACGTGATTCTCTATTAATCGACTGAAAGAAAGCTAGTTCAGCTTCCGAGATCTCAACTCTGTCCGACTGCTCTGACGTGCGCGGAAGCGGGATGACGGTGATCACAGAAGTCTCAGGACCATCATTCTAGGAGAGGTTAAATATCATCAATGGGTGATAAGGCACTTGCCTCACCAACCAAAACACCACCAATTTCTTCCCTCTCATGAGTAAACGCGTGCAACAGCATCGTTTGATACGCTTCTGGGCTGACGATGATTGATCTAACCATCTAGAAATGAAAACATGACAGTCGGAACCATCAGACACTCACGGTCAAGTCAGGTCTGTGGTCCTACAACAGCAACAGTCAGAACACATGACATACAATAGGCGTCACGGTCAAGTCCAAGTTCCGTTTAACGATGGGAGATGACAAATATGAGGGGGTTAGTTCGCATAGAACCCCTGGCTGTTTTGTCAGTGACGAGCACTGGTGAGCTGACAAGCTCGGAGCGCGTGAGCTAACGGATCTAAGACGCACACAGGCGCGTATGTGAGAATGAGCGAACGTGTGCCCCAAAACAGGGTGGGAGTGGGGACGCTGACTCGCGCGTGACGGATCTTATTTCATAGCCCCCAGCCGCCTGTCATACAGGATAACGTCGAGAATGATTGTCGAACTGTCGCTTATGAACATTTCACTTGATAAATTAGATTTCACATATTTGTTAACGTTTCTTTTACTGGTCCTATTTGGGGAACCTACCAACGCCACTTCACGACCCACTCGCCTACCGCCTCGAGCGAATGCAACGTTGATGCATCAGCTTATTCAACCAATAGCGATCGCCCATGCCTGACTGAAGCTAAAAATCAATGTGTCACTTACCTCATCTCACGCATTCTCGCTTACTCGCCTGGTTGCGTCTTATATTCGTTAGCTCACGCGCTCCGAGCTTGTCAGCTCACCAGTGCTCGTCACTGACAAAACAGCCAGGGGTTCTATGCGGACTAACCCCCTTATATTTGTCATCTCCCATCGTTAAACGGAACTTGGACTTGACCGTGACGCCTATTGTATGTCATGTGTTCTGACTGTTGCTGTTGTAGGACCACAGACCTGACTTGACCGTGAGTGTCTGATGGTTCCG